CACACACACACACACACACACATCGAAAACTCTCTCTCTCTCTCTCTCTCTCTCTCTCTCTCTCTCTCTCTCTCTCTCTCTCTCTCTCTCGATGCCCTAGCCAAATTGGCTAAGGCTGCGAATGATAGGTATCTGGACAAAATGCTGGATATATTCAAAAATGCTGCAGCACTCGGAAGTAGCCGAGTTCGACAGACTGGCTAGCCGGTTGCCGAGGCACCTAGCAGCCTCGAATACAGATTTTGAGCTCTGATAGGAGCGCGGTCTTCTACGTCTGTGAAACGTCATTCTGTCGGGAATTTTGTTTTGAAATCAGCTTGATCTAGCGGTTCCGATGACTTCCTGATGGGCTCAGGACTTGGGCTCTTTTCACACGCTCCACAGGGCCCTTTCTTGGTAGTCAGACTAAGGGCCCACTCAGAATTACAAAAATAGAGTCTTTGAATTTGCTCTAGGAATCGGGTTAGATGCAGGGTTTTTTCTGGTAGTCCGGTAGAACGCAGTGTTTTTGGACCCGGACGCTCACACGAGCGTCGGCCGCGGATCTACGGTCGACTATTTTGGGATCTTGATGGGCTCAGGACTTGGGCTCTTTTCACATGCTCCACGGGGCCCGTTCTTGGTAGTCAGACTAAGGGCCCACTCAGAATTACAAAAATAGAGTCTTTGAATTTGCTCTAGGAATCGGGTTAGGTGCGGGGTTTTCTTGTAGTTCGGTAGAACGCAGTGTTTTGGACCCGGACGCTCACACGAGCAGTCGGCCGCGGATCTACGGTTGACTATTTTGGGATCTTGATGACTTTTCGCTTGACTAACGACTATTCCCTCGGAGNCCGGACGCTCACACGAGCAGTCGGCCGCGGATCTACGGTTGACTATTTTGGGATCTTGATGACTTTTCGCTTGACTAACGACTATTCCCTCGGAGTGCTTGGGGAACAGCGTAGGTTTAGGTTTTGCAGAAGGGCATAGGTCACTGCTACTTAACTAGGAAGGCACGACTTAGGCCTTCTCTTCGAGCACGCGAACTCGTGGAGTTCACCCTCCTGATGAGTCTCCGTTAGTGGGCGGAGCGAAACCGGTTGGGGGATGCCACTGTGCTTGGCTATGGTGGTCTTGAGTGACGCGTTTTTGCAGAGTGCATCGAGTTTTTTGAAATTACTATTGGTTTTGCAATTCTGCGTGCTTGTCATTCGGCTGCATGGACTGTTTTGTCGCAGTCTGCCAACTCTCTGGCGCGTAGTAACCGGCAGCGGGAGATTCTACTCGGTGGCTGCGTCTACATGCTTCGGCGGTTGTTCGAGGAGTCTTCCGCGAGTTCTCTGTTCATTCTTTCGGGAGCTTTATGTTTGAGAATCTATTACCGTTGTGCGAGAAGGATCCGCGGAGATCACATTGTCGTTTTCAATCCACTCTTGCAGAGAACTCTATGCTCGAGGAAGACGGTTTATAACGCTCGCGTAGTATCTGGTGGCGATAGCTGGCTAGAGCGGCTGGCCGACTTTTGGATTGTTTCGCGTAAGCAACTTGGCTGCGACTGAGTAGACTCGCTCGGGTGGGAAAGGACATTATAAGTATTGGCTATCGGGGGATATCTCTCCCCGGTGATGGGGAAGAAGGGTGCTTCACTAACGGTCTTGCGTTTGCTTGTGAGTGGTGTGGGTTTGATTCTGATTGGCCTAGGACTTCTTGTGATTGGAGCTGCATTTTAACGTAAGGATGCCTGTTTGGCGTAGGACCGTTGGTGGACGTAGAGGTGTCGGAGGGATCCCATTTGTTATCCGGGTAAGATTAGTTCGTGCGCTGAATCTTTTCGTAGAAAAGGAGATTCGGCCCCTGTTTCAGCTGATAGGGCTACTAGGGGACGAGCAACTCAGAGATCGATTCTACGACTCGCTGCTCTGAGCTCTGGTTCGGATTGAGAGGGCGATCTTAACTCTCAGAACCCGTAGGAGGATTCACCTTAGTGAAGTCGCGGATATTTGGAGAAACTGACATGACAGGCGGATTCTGTGTGCTTAGAGCTCCGAAGGCTCTAAGGATACACACCGTTATCGGGCTCGGCGTATCTGCGATTCGCCAATACGAAGACGACTCTCGGCTCGGGCGTCATGTTTCTGACAAATGGCCCGGGAGGGAACAACACAGGGACGTATGGAAATAGTGGTGGGAATTACAGCGGAGCCAGCTACGGCGACGGCAGGGGCAGTACGCTTGCAAATGGAGGTACGGGTGGTGGAGGGGGAAACTACGGCGCGGTTGGGAACGGTGGAGGAGGGCCGGGCGGAGTGTGTTATAACTGCGGTAAGCCCGGTCACTTTGCGCGCGATTGCTGGGCGCGCCGCGGTAGACCCTACCAGCAGAACCTGGGTGATCCTGAACTGGAGGAGATCAAGGAGCACCATCGACGAGCTAGGAAGGAGCGCCTCGAGCAGGAGGAAAAGAAGAGGATCGAGGAGGAGAAAAGAACGAAAGAAGAAGAAGAGAATCGTAGAAATCAAGATTTCGCACGAAAGATGGAAGAATTCAAGCTGCAACTGCGAGTTGATCTAAACGAAGAATGGCACAAGAAGAACGCCGAAGCTGAGAAAGCCATGTCCAAAGCTAAGAAGAAGACGGTGAGGCTGAACCAAGCACTGCGATCGAAGAAAAGCAAAGGGAAGGGACGAAGGATGAAGAGAAAGCATTATGTCCTCACTAGCGAGGACTCTACGACGGATGAGGCATCAGACTCGGAGGAGTCTAGTTCCCTGTTTAGTGAGTCCAGTGAGGAACGGACGTGCGTGAGGGTGACCAAGGGGAAAGGGAAGCGACATAGTAAAGGGAAGTCGAAGCAGGGAAACGGTAAGGAGAACCGAAATTCTCCGCCAAAGAAGACCACACCGAGGAGATACGAGGCGGGCGAATGCTCAAAAAGGGAACGAGTCCTGGAAAAAGGGAGTGGCTTGCGGGTTAATGGAGTTGGCAGGATAGAGAAATCGGATGAGGAAGCAGAACCGAAGACACCGCTGGCGGGGGGTTACAAAGGATTATCTGCAGAGTGTTCGCAGAAGGGCTTAATAGACTATTGTATCTCTGGTCATAAAATTTATTCAGCTAAGAAAGCGCATGCTCTGAGGAGGATTTGCGATAGGAAGGGTATTAAGTACACAACGAAACCGGAAGTAGTAGAGTTACTTGCGAGGCAACAGGTGGAATTAGCCTACGAAGGATTCGAAGAGGGTATGGGCAAGGGGAAAGAGGTGTTGGAAGAGCAAGTGGTCTCACCAAAGGCTTACGTCAACAGAAGTAAGACTGTGCGGGTTTCTCCAGCGGCTCGAAGGCCGAGGGTAATTCTGAAGTTGGCGGCAGCATAGCCTGAAGAGGATTCGAACTGACTAGGTAAGCATCCCTCGACTTCCAATCTCTGGGATTCACTTAATACTTGGATTGCTCACAGATCGGAGCTTCGAAGGGAGAGCATAACGGGTGAGATAGCTAGGAAGGTAGAAAGTGCAATCTCGACGACGACTTTGCTCTTAGCCGCCCAGGGACAGATACCTTGGCTGCAGAAGTACATTGCTAGGGCGGGGGATCTGTCGGAAATGCTGGCCTTGGACACGCCAGGGGTGTACGCAGTCGTGAGCCCTTGGGCCCGGAAGACGTACGTGGGGTGCATGGTTCGCCCGATTATCCAGCGGTGGAGGGAACACTGCCGCAACGCATCTAATAATGCGTTGGGGCTAGCTCCGCATCTGTATCGATGGTTACGGGCATACGGTCTAGACAAATACGTGGTTATTCCATTACGGCACAGGGGGAAAGAGGATGACTTTGTGTTTGAGAAGTTTTTGATCTCAGATTTCTGCCCGAGTCTGAACTCCCGGGACTTGAATTTGAAAAAGGAAGGTAGGAGGAAGCTCAGGAAGGGGAGGAGGGAGAGGATCGGGAGATCTCGTAAGACGAAGACGGAGGAAACTGTGATTTTTCGTGACGGCGATTCGAGTTTTGTGTCGCTAATCGGGTGGCTGAACGCGCATCGAGAGGACCGCACGGTGAGGGCGATCGAGGTAGGCAAGGGTACGAACTGGGTGGACGGTTGGCGGAAGATCAAGCGGGTTTTTGGCGGAACCATGGTAAGGGTCAGCGGTATCGTGTCATCACTGAAGACGGTGAAGAGGCAGATGCAGCTAGGGACACAACTTGAGTTCCTGCGGATTGTGAAGACGAAGACAACTACGGAGAAGAATAAAGCTTTCTTGGCGGGGCTTGTTCGAAGACCGAGGCCTATTTCGCAACTATCTTGCTTCACGACGAACAAGTTGATAGGCCTATATCGGGCGGCGGGACTTTTTACTGAGAAAAAGACCAAGCAGCTGCTGCGGCTCAGGATCGATCGAGCGGTGCACAGAAAGACAGGCGTAAGCATTAGAAAGCAGATTAACATCAAGGTTCCGTATGCCTCCAATATTAGAAAGAACGTCATCAAGAGCATTGCCGAAGGAATGGTCAGCAAAAGGCTACCGGACACTGTACTGGCGGACTTCGTGAAGACCCGCATTCGGGTGGTATGGACACGCAACAAATCGGTCAGCGAACTCATATGGAACCACAAACAGTATGCGGGGGATGCCGAGGTGGTCTGCTGCTGTGATCACTTCTCACTTCCGAAGGTCGTAGGACATGCACAAGCTCGCTTCTCCGACTTACCAGAGGACCTCGTGCCAGCGTTCGTACGCAACGCCAAGAACATCACGAGGCCCGGGAGGAAGGTACGTGATGGGGCAATATTGCAGGCTATCTTCGATGCGATTAAACATCTGAAGGGAGACGTGGTGAGACCTGAGTTGTTGACATGTTCATTTTGTTGTGAAGAACATCGATCGCCGGCCTGGACGGACGATGCAGTGAAAGACTGGAGAAGGAAATTTGACGGGTTGGTACTTACTCAGCTTGATAGAAATATCAGGGATACAGCAGTATTTTGTCCGGTCCTGTATAGGCATGGGTTCGGGAAGTTGTTTGTATGGAATACTAACTATATTATGGTGGGGAGGGCAGAGGAGGAGGCGGAGCTACTGAGGAAGTATAAGGAGGACTTCAAGAAGTACGGACTGGATGGCATCGGGACGTGGAAGCCTGATGGCAGGTTAGGCTCGGCTTACGTAATTCCTAAGCACAAAGATCTGGAGCGATGGAGACCCATTGCTCCAACCTCAGCGGACCAGGCGGGATTGGCACAGAAAAGAGTGGCGAAAGCTTTGCACACCTTGCTCTGCCGCCTGCCGGCACATGAATTGTTCTATCTGAATTCTATTTCTGAGCTGGCAGATAGGTTGAAGGCAGCTACGGAGAGGCTTAGGGCGAAAGGATGCACTAAGGTGGAAGGTTGTTGCTACGACATTAAGGAGATGTTCTCCCGGATCCCACACTCGGCAGTCATCAGTGCGGTGGAGTGTCTGCTGAGAGGATACTTAGACTAAGGATGGAGGTGCGTGAGGGTTTCATTTCGGGGAAGGTCTTGTGTGATCAGCAAAACCAAGAGAAAGTTGGACGGTTATGTTAATATTGGCCTGCCAACTTTGCTCCAGGCAGTGCAATATGATCTGCAACACTCTTCCATCAGGTGTGGGGAGAAGCTGATGCAACAGGTCTTCGGAATCCCGATGGGGAAGTCTACTAGTCCTATCCTTGCCTCGATCACTTGCGCCATGGCTGAGAGGAATCTTCTTAGGACTCTAGATAGTGACAGGTTGCTCGTTGGCGGGTGGAGGATCATGGATGACATCTCCGTCATCGTCGGCAGCTCTAGTACATCCAACTTCGGTCCAGAGATTTTTGGAGCTTTTGAACATTGTTACGATACCAGTTTGGAGGTTATTCGTAAGGACGAGTGTGGGTTCACCTGGCCGTTTGTAGGCGGGACCTTCTTCATCTGTACCACGCCACTACAGTTACACTTTGTCCCGAATGGCAAGAACACAGATGCTTTATACGAGAAGGGCAGGTTGATTTTCCAGACCATGCAAGATTATAGCTCGTATTCAGACAAGGCAGTGAAGAAGGCGGGGCTGGCCGCAGCAATCAAGAGGATGTGGGACCAGACTACGTGCAAGGAACTGGTTCTGGGCGCAATCGCTTTCGCTATCTGCGAAGCTGAGGTCTCTCTCGATGCCCTAGCCAAATTGGCTAAGGCTGCAAATGATAGATATCTGGACAAAATGCTGGATACATTCAAAAATGCTGCAGCACTCGGAAGTAGCCGAGTTCGACAGACTGGCTAGCTGGTTGTCGAGGCACCTAGCAGCCTCAAATACAGATTTTGAGCTCTGATAGGAGCACGGTCTTCTACGTCTGTGAAACGTCATTCTGTCGGCAATTTTGTTTTGAAATCAGCTTGATCTAGCGGTTCCAATGACTTCCTGATGGGCTCAGGACTTGGGCTCTTTTCACACGCTCCACAGGGCCCTTTCTTGGTAGTCAGACTAAGGGCCCACTCGGAATTACAAAAATAGAGTCTTTGAATTTGCTCTAGGAATCGGGTTAGATGCGGGGGTTTTCTGGTAGTTCGGTAGAACGCAGTGTTTTTGGACCCGGACGCTCACACGAGCAGTCGGCCGCGGATCTACGGTCGACTATTTTGGGATCTTGATGGGCTCAGGACTTGGGCTCTTTTCACACGCTCCACAGGGCCCGTTCTTGGTAGTCAGACTAAGGGCCCACTCAGAATTACAAAAATAGAGTCTTTGAATTTGCTCTAGGAATCGAGTTAGGTGCGGGGTTTTCTGGTAGTTCGGTAGAACGAAGTGTTTTAGACCCGGACGCTCACACGAGCAGTCGGCCGCGGATCTACGGTTGACTATTTTGGGATCTTGATGACTTTTCGCTTGACTAACGACTATTCCCTCGGAGNCCGGACGCTCACACGAGCAGTCGGCCGCGGATCTACGGTTGACTATTTTGGGATCTTGATGACTTTTCGCTTGACTAACGACTATTCCCTCGGAGCGCTTGGGGAACAGCGTAGGTTGAGGTTTTGCAGAAGGGCATAGGTCACTGCTACTTAACTAGGAAGGCACGGCTTGGGCCTTCTCTTCGAGCACGCGAACTCGTGGAGTTCACCCTCCTAATGAGTCTCCGTTAGTGGGCGGAGCGAAACCGGTTGGGGGATGCCACTGTGCTTGGCTATGGTGGTCTTGAGTGACGGGTTTTTGCAGAGTGCATCGAGTTTTTTGAAATTACGATTGGTTTTGCAATTCTGCGTGCTTGTCATTCAGCTGCATGGACTGTTTTGCCGCAGTCTGCCAACTCTCTCTCTCTCTCTCTCTTGCACACACACACACACACACACACACACACACACACACACACACACACACACACACACACACACACACACGAGTTCGTGCAGTAGTGTATATTTCGATGTTCTAGCGGAAGATTCATTCGATTTTGCTCATCTTATGGATCGACATAACATGAGGCCAGTCGTGTGGTTACTCATCCTATCGATGGAACGCAGCAGCCAATAGGTAAGTGTGCAACGCGGGCGCTGGCCTCGTGCCACTTCTATCAATATGAGCGTGTGCGTGTGTGTGTATGTGTGTGTGTGTGTGTGTCACAGTGTGTGTGTGTGTGTGTGTGTGTGTGTGTGTGTGTGTGTGTGTGTGTGAGAGAGAGAGAGAGAGAAAAAAAAAAAAAGAGAGAATAGGTAAGTCTCAGACGGGGGCAGCGGTCTGACACACTGACACAACTTCTATCAATATGATAAGTCTCAGACGCAGGCATCGGTCTGACGCTACTTCTATCAATATGAGCGTGCTCGTGTGTGTGTGTGTGTGTGTGTGTGTGTGTGTGTGTGTGTGTGTGT